CGAGAACTGGAATTTCTACATGGCCTTTGCCTTCTTCCGCCTGGCCGTGAGGCTGCAGGGGCTCCACAAACGCTCCCTGAGAGGTGAGGAACCCGGCTAGCCCCACGCGCTGCGCTGGGACGTGGGACACTGCTGGCTTCTCGGGCAGACTCTGCAGTCAGGTTGTGTCCTGCGAACACAGGAAAGGGCCCAAAGGAAGCACAAACAAGGCATTTCCCCATTTTTTTGCTGTTTGCTGGTTGCAAGCTACAGTTGGCTTTTTATGAGAAGTTCTTGCATTGTTGCTTTTCTTTCGCGGGGGGAAAGGCCGAACTTCGGAGCTCAGAGTTGTGTCCTACAGGTGGAGCTCTGAGCCCTTCGGACTCTGCTTTAGCAGGGAGACTCGCAGGCGGTTGCTGGGACATCTCAGTGGAGTTTTTCTCCATGCACCTGGGAGCTTTGCTCAGAGAATGTTGTTATTTTCCTCTTCCTTAGAGAGGAGTCTTTGGGTCCTACAGGGCTGGCTTTGCCTAAGGCCCATGGGGGTGTTTGCGGTGTGGCTGCATAACCGCAGAAGTGACAGTTCTTCCCTTGTCACCAGGCCACGCGAGGCCAGCCCCAGGGGAGAGCTGCCAGGAGCATGCAGAGCTCGTGGCTGACCTGGCTTGGGATTTTGCCATAAAAGAAGGATTCCGTGTGTTTAACCGCCTCCCCACCACGAAGCCTTTCATGCGACCGTACAGTACGCGAGCCAGGCTTGGGCCGTCCTTCAGCAGAAGTTATGTTACCCAGCCATGTCCTGGGACAGCTCATGTGCTCAAAATTCCTCTGCTTGTTCCCCCCACTGGCTTTTGGGGGACAGCTGGAAAGCGGCATGGATGTCCAGTGGGGTCACCAGATTTCCCGGCACAGTTGGACTCCACATTTTCTTCTTGAAAAACCTAAGGTGAGTCACTTTCCTCCCCAAAGTCACCTTACTTTGCTGCTCCTGCAGCAGGGTAGGCGCTCTGGGCATGTTTCTAGGTGCTCTTTGCATTCCTGATCACATCACACTGTTGCTCGTAGAGCCCCACACCTAGGAGCAAGGGGGCAAGATGCCTTTGGTGGCAACATTGAGGTGTGGCAGAGTTCGTGTTAGGGGCAGCCACAATTTCCAAGGCTTAGACTCCCTTCCAAGAAGAACAGATTAATGCCAGGTGAGCTGTAACCACTGACACTGCTCTACCAAGGTGCAGGATCCAACACATGCTGCCACCAAAGTTGATGGAGTCCCCAGACCCTGACTGGGCTTGGGCTTTTGGCGCCTGCCAGTCACTTCTTGGTCACTCCCTTCTCCTGGCAGGGCTCTGGAGCATCACTGCTCTCCCTGTGGGAAAGACGGTGTCCATTCTCCTTGCTCCAGACGTGAGTGTGGCTGGGCCTCTTGCTGTGTTGCCTTGGGAGGTTCCCCCAATGTGCAGGGAGCTGCTCACTGCTGCACAACTTCATTTCCTCCCTTTTGTTCCCTTATCCTGCTCGCCCTGCAGACACCCCCATCAGCAAACAGCGTCCTGCCCAGCGACAGAGTGCCCAGCGCTGCTCTCTCTGGTTGCTGCTGGAGTGGTATTATTAGCTTATTCTAGTGACGTTATCAAATTCCAGCATGTTATTTAACTCCCTTTTAGCTGCCCCATCAGTTGTTCAGTCTTTAGGAAGCATTTCCTTGTGCTCGGGCAGAAACCAGTAGGAATCTGCATTTCGGGCTGCTTAGCAGCTGATGAAGGCAGAAAACGAGAAGAGCAGCCCTAGGGAACCTGGAAGTTCCATTCCTGGTGTTCGGAAAGGGCTGGCTGCTGCCATGCTTCCTTACTTCCTCCACATGGTTTCTCACCTTATTCTCCCGCAGGTCCGTGGAGCAGAGCGGCGCTGACCCCCATGTGGCCCATCGTGGCCTCCCTGGAGGCAGCTGCGCGGCCGGCCTCGGCGCCAGGCAGGAGGCTGGAGCCGCCGTGCTGGCCTGGCAGTGCTGGGGGTCTCTGAACTTCAGTGGTGTCACTGCTATCTGGTTCCAGTGCCTTCACTGCCAGGCCCATTAACGGTGGGGCAGAATCCATCCTGGAGTACTGGGCTGCAGCCACTCAACATCGGCCTTGCGAGAGGGAGAGCAGGTCGGGAATGACAAGGTGAGGATGCAGATCTTGATTTTGTGGTAAGGAGATGGAAGGAGGGTGTCTCTTCTCGCTCAGCGCGATGCCTCCAGCAACCTGCAGCAGCCGGAAAAGCTGCAGTGAGCAGCAGCAGGAGTCAGATCAGGACAAGGAGGGCTCTGGCTTCAGCAGAAAGTGCCGCGGAGCTGGAAGGAACTCGAAAGGTCCCCACACCCCATGACTGCAGTGAATATCTCTCAGTTTCATCGGGGACCAGGAACAGTGTGGACCAGATCAGCAGAGGCTTTCAGTGCTTCAGAGACTTGGGCGTGGTTAATTCCTGGGCTCTTGATGTGTAATCTGTATTAACGCGATATTAAAATGAGGGACCCGCTTGATATAGTGACAAGTTCAAGTGTTCAGCATCTGACGCCACTTTCACTCTGTTGGAAGCGCCGTGTCCGGACAGTGGGATACACAGCTTGCAGCTTCCCTAACCACCCAGTAGCCAGCCCAGCCTGGCCCTCTGGCAGGTCCCAGCAGTGACCCGTGTCACAGCCCCGGGGCTGGCACCGGTTCCTCCAGTACAGATCCATCAGTGGCCGAGGTGGACACTGGGTCCTGCTCTTTGGGGTGTCCCGAGATGGCCGTGCTGGGAAGTCAACACAGGAACAGAGCGACCAGAGAGCAGGAGGGAAGCCCCAGACCTGACCCGTGCTGATGGTTTCTCAAGGGATCCAGGGTGAAATTCCCCCCTGTCCCAGGCATTTGGCCACGCCGTGGGAGAAGGCACAGCCTCTGCCGGCACACACAGCCCAGGTGCTTTCCCAGCACCCAACGCTGGCTCTGCACCCCCAGCGTCCCGTCTTCCACGCAGGCAGGGCCCAGAGCTTAAGCCTGGCAGCTGGGGGTGCCAGGAAGGTGTTTTCTCCCTTGCATGGGTTTTAATTTGCTGAGTTTGTCTGCTCAGCCCCAGGGAAGGGAAGGGCTCTGCTCAAGAGCAGCAAAGGCGCCAGTTCGGGACTCTTGTCCCGGGTCACCCCTTGTCTGCCCGAGATTGGGCAGGAACCGCGTGGAGGCCAGAGCAGGGGAGCTCACCCCGAGCGAGCGCGACCGCAGCTCTCGGAGGGCGTCTCCTCACGGGCCCAGCAGGTCTTTCCAGTCTGTCCCCACAGTGCTTTAGCACGTCCAGGTCTGAAAGGGGGGAGAGAACGTGTTGGGACAAGCAGTTCTCACAGGGCCACCTCGTAAAGGGCTGCAGGGCCCTCTGCTTGGGCACAACTGGGAATCTCGTGTCCTGCAGGAGACACAGGTGACTGAGGGATGCTCAAGAGGAGCACAATCCCAGCACAAGAGGATTTCTTTGCAGCTGATCCAGAAAACGTGTGGCCTAAGCCGAGTTCTGCTGGATAACCTTGGGCAGTGGCTTCATGTTGCTGATTTTATGGTTCCTACCTGCAAAACAGGGCAGTTATTTTCCTCCTGAATTAAATGCCTGGACACTCTGCAGGTGCTGGAGTTACAGGTTACCACCAAGACTCCAGGAGCTTTCAGGACAGTGGATTAAACTATTTTTGAATTGAAAAAAGATGCACAATTCTTCAGTCCTCTTAAATCAGAGACAGCCACACGACCACTCACAGAGCCCTCCGCAGCCACCCTCGAGTCGGAGAACTGCTGCCGGCAGGAAGGCACCACACGTTCGTTTGGATGTTACACGTTCTTTGAGTCTTTTCAGTCGGTGGTTTCCTTGGCGATGACAACGATAGCTTTAAAATGCGCCGTTTGCTGTCACGTGTTGGACACGCTGCATTGTGCAAGGCATCTTGAGCAAGTGAGCACAAAAGGCCTTCGGCCGCTGCTGGGAGGGTTTGGCAAAGGCCGGAATGTGCAGGCGCTGAGGAGAGCCCTGCAGCGCAGGCCCTGCCGGCCTCCCTCCTCCTCGGCCTGCTCACGAGGTTCTTGTTCAGCCTCCGTGCGCTGGAAACGGCAGCGAGTTTGGGCAGCCAGGGATCCCAGCGCTACTACTTGTGTAAACCAACCAAGCTGTCATGCTTTCCCTGTACAATTAATGGAATTAACAGTAAATTAACTGAAGAGCACAGGTGTTCCTGGTCTCCCTCTGCCTTTATTCCCTCGGTGACGCGCGGGTCCCTGCTCGGGGAGCCCTGTGGCAATTGCCAGCGTGTTATCCCGACGCTGTTATCCTGCACAGGCCATGGACACTGCTCGCGCCTCAGCCCTGATCTCCGGGTCAGGGCAGTCCCGGGCCTGTTTGGTGCTGAGCCCAGTTGTGCCAAACCGGGCCGGGCCAACGCACGGGAGCGGAGTGGCGCTGAAGTGGGTGTGGGACAAGCTCGTTTGCTCTGAACTGAACCACGCTGAGCCCAGCTGAGCCAAGCGGAGCGGATGGGAGCCGGGCCAGGCACCGCGCCGCCGCCATCCCCGCGCCCAACACGCAGCCTGAGATCGCCTGCACCAAGGTAGGGAGGGCCGTGGCCCACTCGCTCGTTTGCTCGCTTGTTTGCTTCCTTGCTCACTTCTTTGCTTGCTTGCTCACTCCCTTGCTCGTTTACTTGCTCGCAGCCAGCTCAGAGGGCAGCGTCCGGAGCTGTTTGTTCGGAAGTGAAGGGGGTGCCGGGCATGGGGGCTCCACAGCTTGGCCAGAGCTTGGAGCTTGAGGGGTTGGAAGCAGCAGAGGGACAGGGGCTGCGAGGCCCCAGCTGGGGCAGAGTGCCCGAGGTGCCCCCAGGTGTGTTTTGGCCCAAAGTCCTGCGCTTCCCTGCAGGAAAACGATTCCGGACGCAGCAGGCAGGCTGGGCAGAGGCTGCTGGTATCAACTCGATCCTGGATATCACCCAAGCGCTACTGTCGGTGCGAGCGAGCAAAGAGCAGGAGCTGCTGGGGCTGCGGGGCACGGAGGGAACCTGCTCTGCCCAGCTCTGTTATCTGCAGAGATTAGGTGGCTCCATAGGGCAGCCGGGTGCTCCACGGGTGCCCCGGGGCAGCAGGAGCACGCTGGTGTTCAGTGAGCACCGTAATCCTGGCGCTGACGCCGTTGGCTTCTTGTGGGCCTGACGTGGAGAAGTTCACTCTGGTGGAGAAGGGAAGTGGGTGGTGGAAAGCTAGCGCCTGGCCTGCGGTTCTGTCCCTGTGCAAAGTAATGCTAAAATTGTGTAAAAGTTGAGTAAAAATTGTGTCTATTGCATAAAATAAGCTGAGAGGTGCTGCAAAAGCTCAAATACCACATATCAAACTATGTTATGAAGCATTTTTATGCCCTTGAGTCTCCTGAGCATCCTGGCATCCCTGTGCAGCTCCAGCTAGACGCGTTCCCATCTCAGAAGGACCTCTGAAACGGGAAGCACTTCCAGCTCCCTTGCTGTTTGCTGAGCTGTGGTTTCTTTTTATTGCTCCCTGACTTCGTCATTGGTTGCGTGCTTCCAAACTAAAACATCTCCCTAGTTAAGCAATCTGTGAAGATGCCATCAAGCAAATAAAGTCCTCAGTGATTCTGCCTGGGTCCCGCTCGGAGGCTTAGCACTGCTTTGCTTTTTCTATTTCAGATTTTTATAAATAATGAGTGGCACGATGCCGTCAGCAAGAAAACCTTCCCTACGGTCAATCCGGCCACAGGAGAAGTCATCTGCCATGTGGCTGAAGGCGACAAGGTAAATATTGTCTTGGCGAGATCAGAGTCTATATTGAAAAGAAGAGGGAGAGAGAGCAGGGAATGGATTTTCCCTGTATCTTATCCAAGGCTCTCTGGGGATCCGTGGCAGAGCTGAGGGTTTTTCCCAGCCGTTTTGGTTTCCTGCTGCTGTGTGGAAACTTGTCCCTATTCCCCGGTGGAGTGGAGAGAGAAGGGAATCCCTAGCTGTGTGTTTGGCCATGGGAGACTGGTTTGTCCTGGTGGGAGTGATTACAGCCCAGCCAGAACAGTGAACTGACTAGAAGCAAGTCGATGCCATGGCAGAACAAAATGATGGGTTAGGGATATTTGATCAAGTTGGGAAAAAAAAAAAAAAGGTTTTGACTGTGCTAGTGAAACCAGTATCAAAGCAACCTCTGCAGCTTTTGATTTGCCTTGTTCCGGAGTACAAATATTAACTCAGCAGCTGGCATTGTGGAAATACCTCGATGATGTTTGCACTGCACGTAGCTGAAATCGTGCAATGTGAGCAGCCACAGTGGCTGGGGCACCCCCCCGTGTCACGGCACCCTCAGCCGGCTCTTCCCGGGGATTCCCTGGGCGAGACTCCCACAGCAGGACCGGTGGACAGGCCTTCCGAAGGCCAGGGAGGGCTTTATCCGTCTCTCGGATTTGGATCTGCTCGGGAGCGGGGCGGGATCCGGGCCTTCCAGCTGGGCTCGCCCTGGAGGAGGACGGACGCGTCGGAGAGGGGGAAGCTGCTCAACCGCCTCGCCGACCTCATCGAGCGGGACCGCGCGTACCTGGCCGTGCGTGTCGGCGCCGCGCGGGGCTGGGGGTTCCCGGGCTCCGCGTAGGGACACGGAGGCCATGGAAGATGCAGCCGTGCAGCAGGGAACACTGGTGTCCTCGTGCCAAAGCCACTTGTAGCGGGCAGGGAGATCTTGTGCAGGCTCTTGTAGGCCTTCGGGGTAGGGAAGCGCTGGAGACTTTCATGGGTCGATGGTATGAGGCCATGAGCAGCCTGGTCTGTCCTTGAAATTGCTTCAGTGGGAGGTTGGACTAATTAAGACCTTCAGTCCCTTCATTCTAATTGTGAGCATGTCCTCGGGTTAAATCACATCTTCCAGCCTGGAGAACAGAGCCAGCCAGTGCCATTGTTCACTACGAGTTTGGTTCAGTTTGAAAATTTCCTCCTGTGTCATTAGAGATCCGGGAAGGCGGGGAGCACCTGTGCTCTCTGCCCTGCTTCTCAGATAAGGCAGCTTCTTCGGAGGGCTACAAGGGATGGGGAAGTATTTTGGGGAAGCTGAAGGTTCTGCACAAACATGCAGAACGGACCCAAAATCAAACCAAGGTTGCACCTAAACCTGCATGTGACTTTCCTTTCCCCACCTCCTCTCCAAGCAGTCTCCCTGTGTTTTGTAGGCGCTGGAAACTCTGGATAACGGCAAACCCTACTCTGTTGCCTACTTGGTGGATGTGAACATGGTGGTGAAATGTCTCAGGTAGGCACTGAGCCAGTGGCTCGTGACGGGTTCCAGCCTGTGCAACCAAGGTCCTTCATGGGGGCTCTGGAACGGGCCTTCCTGGGGTTAAACACATCACTGAGAGAGGCTGACGTGGCTCAAATCTCTGCCTGGAGGTCCCCAAGAGATGTTAAAGATCATGTGAAACAGAGCAGGTCACATTGTGGTCCAACTGGACCTGCTTTGTGGTTGGGCTGGGTAGGATGATCCAAAATTCTCCTTCGTTTCACAGGATGTTCCTTCCTGCTCTCCAGTGTGGGGGCTTCTCTCCCACTATACACAGGGCCTATACAAGTGGCAGTGACCTATGTCACACCACAGCAGAATTACATTATGCGAGGAACAGCCAAGCGCAGGAGGCAAATGTCTGTATTTACTGTCAGTTCTTCAAATCACCTGCTTGGGAAACATTTGTCTGAGTGTGTATTTTGAGAAGTACCTAAAAATGTGAGGGAAAGAAATAGCTGGAGGAAATTTCTCTTGTTTTCTGTTTGCAGGAGGCTTGTTATTCTAAATTCAGTAACTGAAATGTTGCCATTGCCAGATATTTTGCAGGCTGGTCTGATAAAATCCATGGAAAAACTATCCCTTTAGATGGAGACTACTTCTGCTACACAAGACATGAGCCAGTGGGAGTCTGTGGACAGATAATCCCAGTGAGTAAAATGTATCTGTAGTCTCTGCAAGTTATTTCAGGAATTCAGTGTTGCCATAAAGGGCTGTCTTAAAACGCAAGATATTATCCATAGCTGATTACTGCTTCCTTGCAGTAGGAAAACAAGTTAAGAGCTCTTACTTTGCTCTGGCAGCACAAAACTAACTTGTTGATTTTGTGGGCTATCTGCGAGGGTTTTTTTGTGTCTCTCTTTGTGCAGAAAAGTAGAATTTAAACATATTTGTAGAGTTATCCTGCTACCATAAGCACCTTCAATCCTGCAGTTTGGTGACAAATTATTAGCAGGAATCACAGTTAAATTTTAAATTACTGCTTAAGTGAGCATTTAGCATTAAAAACAAAACTTTGCATGATGAGGAAATGAAGAACTGCATGGAAAACTCAACTGCTTGTGCCTGATCTTATTTCCGCGAAGGTAAAAAGCCTAGCAAGGTGGTTTGGTAACAACAAGGCCACATTATGCAATGATTCATGGATAGTATGAGCTGCTTATAGGAGTAGCTGGGTTCTTGTTTGGCATGTTTTATATTTGCATTAAGTAAGAATGGAATGCAAATGCCTGGCTTTGGAATCGACACCTCTCTGAGGCCTGCTCAGTCACTGTAAACAGACTTTCTTTCAAAACAGTTCAATAGAGCAGAACAGCGCTTCACGGCTAAACTGACAGTGAAAGGTAATTCCAGAAAATTCTTTTTCTGAGGTGTTATTGAGAGACCTCAGCCTTCAGGTTACAGCTTTCCTGGACAAACAGAAGGACTAGACTGCTTAAAATGGAACTGAACAAGTTGCAGACCAGCTAGGGAAGGATCAAAGCCTGGTTCCATGGGTGCTGCCGCAGACTGTAATGCAGCTCACCGCTTACTGACTGATAAACTGAAAATGTGCAAGTTCAGACCAGCAAATACGTCCTTGTTTTATAGTGGAACTTCCCACTGTTGATGCAAGCTTGGAAACTCGGGCCTGCCCTGGCTACTGGGAATGTGGTTGTGATGAAAGTGGCGGAGCAAACACCCCTGAGCGCTCTCTACATCGCTAGCCTCGTCAAAGAGGTGAGCAAAGAGCTGCTTCGCATTCCGGGAGGGGAGAAGGCTTCTCAGATCTGAAGAAAGACCCGGGTGTCTTGTGTGTCCTCGTGTGCAGTTTAGCTGAACGCTCCAGGTCTTTCCAGTGCAGAGGCAGAGGGTGTCACTGGGGCTTAGGGAAGGCCTCTACGAGGCTCAGTGACACAAACGGCCCATCCTCTACCTAGAGGACGGCTGAGCTTCAGGGTGAGGGGACAGCTAACGTTGCTCCAAGCTAAATTTGGGGTAGCGGGGAAGAAGTTTAGAACCCGTAAAGCTGAGGTCCTGGGCAATGAAGTGAGCTCTGTTCAGAGCTGCTCTGTTCTTCTTAGCATCTGGAAGCATTGCTGTCAGCTCAGGGCAGGTGCAACCTCTGATTTGTGAAACGAGTAACATGGTTGTGTCCCCTTGAACTGGCAGGCAGGATTCCCACCCGGCGTGGTTAACATCATTCCTGGCTACGGGCCCACGGCAGGGGCTGCAATCTCTTCCCACATGGACGTTGACAAAGTGGCCTTCACTGGCTCCACGGAGGTAAGGGACTGCCTTAACCTTCAGCTCTCGGGGATGTAGAGAATATGTCACTGTTGTGAGGCCTTGCCTTCTACAACTTCCTTTAAAAAATACACCTAGCTTCAAGGCGTGACATTTATTTTTACTTAAGACTCTTTTCAGGTGCTTTCTTTAGAGCATTTAGGCTTCCCTTGAGCTGCTCCTTACTGTAAGTGAATCCCTGTGCAGACTCAGTTGTTTCCTTGATGCCCTGACAGTGAAGGGGTTATCCCTAAACTGCTGGCTGAGAGCAACCGCTCTGCCCGTTGCTGCAATCCCCAGAAGCTTAGTTCCTAAAACGTGTTCTTCTCCTGGCGCAGGTCGGGCATCTGATCCAGAAGGCTGCAGCAGAGAGTAACCTAAAGAGGGTGACACTGGAGCTTGGAGGAAAGAGTCCAAATATCATCCTGTCCGATGCTGACAGTAAGCACCTGCTGGCTTCACATTTGATCTGCACATCTCAGCTGGCCTTCCTGCACGCGGAGCTCGAGGGGAAACATTTCTGTCACAGGAGCCTCCAGCTCTGGCACCTCCCGGCTCTCCTCACCCGGGAAAGGCCGGTGCCTCCCACTGCAGCCGCTGTGTTTGTGCATCGAGGCTGCTCTGCTCCCTCTTCTTTCCCACTAGCGCAGTGAAGCTCAGTTATCAACAAATAGGAATTGTTTTGGTATTTTCCTTCAACTTCCTCTTTTCTGTTTTTTTTTCTTAGTTTGCACATCTTATTCTCACTCTTTTCTAGTACTGTCAAGTAATAGTTGTCTCTCTTGTACATAAACACCCTTTTGGGAGACACCTTTTAAAAGGCAGAAGGAAGCAAACTACTAGGTCCAAAAAAACCATGTCCTTAATACCCAGTATTTTTTAAAGGAAACTGTAATCTGCCTCATCTCAGATGCTTTTTCATCTCTAATATAGGGTGCTCATATGGATCTTTGTACGAAACCTGTACTTAATTTGGGCCCTCCCAAAGCACTGAAAGTGGCTGTCAGCTGGAAGGACTTTGTATCATGAGTGTTCCAGTAGTTGGCACGAGAATTGTTCAAAAGAAGCCACCTGTCGACTCCTTGGATGATTTTGCTGTGTTCATTTATTTGTTTTCTCTTCTCTCCCCAACCTTAGTGAGCTGGGCTGTGGAGCAGGCCCATTTTGCCCTCTTCTTCAACCAAGGGCAGTGCTGCTGTGCTGGATCCCGAACGTATGTCCAGGAGGATATCTACCAGGAGTTCGTGGAGAGGAGTGTGGAGAGAGCCAAGGCCAGGGTGGTCGGCAACCCGTTTGACTTCAAAACTGAGCAGGGCCCTCAGGTGAGAGCAGGAAGCCTCTTCACCTGTCAGTTCATGAAATAGCCCCAGTCCAGAGGAGCTGGCAGGGCTTTCATTTGTCTTAATGGCTTTTAGGTAGATGAGGAGCAGTTTAAGAAGATCCTTGGCTACATTAGCACTGGGAAGCGCGAAGGAGCCAAACTGCTGTGTGGTGGCAACCCGGCTGCAGACAGGGGCTACTTCATCCAGCCGACTGTCTTTGGAGACGTGCAGGACAACATGACGATTGCCAGGGAGGAGGTGAGGCCTGCAGCACCTTTCAGTCCGTCAGCTTCCCACTTCTTGGTCATTTTGCCCCATTTCATGCAAAAAGGAACAGGTCTGCAAGTACCAGACCTTGATGAGCTGCAAGGGGAAATGGGAATTCAGTGCTTCTTGCAAGGTGACCACCGCAAGCTGCGCTCCGGATTATATCTTGGCTGCTTTGTAATTCTGGAAGTGACCGCACTGGTACTCGGAATTTGACCTCCCATGTAACTTACAGTGAACATGTGCAACTCCAGCATCAACCACGGCCTGCCCTGATCCATGCACAGAGATTTTCATGTGTTCTGCTTGTATTTTTTAGATATTCGGGCCAGTCATGCAGATCCTGAAGTTCAAAACTGTGGAGGAAGTGATTGAGAGAGCAAATGACTCCAAGTACGGCCTAGCAGCAGCGGTCTTCACAAAGGATCTCGACAAAGCCAACTACGTGTCGCAGGGTCTGCGCGCCGGCACCGTGTGGTGAGACCCGACGCCGCCGCTCGCAGCGGCCGCGGGTCCCCCTGGCGCCGGGGGTTCCGGCTCCCCTCGCCGCTGGCGTTTCTCTCCCAGGCTTTCTCTTTGACAGCTTCTCTTTTCTTCCCACCTAGTTTTACACTTCACTGAATATAACGTCATGCCTTGAATTTTAGTCACAGTTTTGGAGATCTGAATCTCACTTAAAATTAAATAGTTCTAACTGAACTTCAGGTATTGACTGAAGTAGGTGCTTAATATCTGTCTGTAAAGGGAGGTGTGAGTCGCAGCCTGGACACTTGGTCCTACGAGATGAGATATGAATTAGTTTTATGATCTTTTGTTTCCTGATGGTCCATCAGGAAATGTTTTTTGCCCCGAGGGTCCAGTATTTCCAATTAACTCCTTAGAGTTGCCTTAGAGATCTAACAGATGTGGAAATCCAGCCTGGGAATTCAGTTGCTTCTCCCCTCCATCAAGCACTCCAGACCCCTCCATCAAGCACTTCCGACACTACTGACGCTTAACACTTTGTGTCCTTTCCAGGGTAAATTGTTATAATGTGTTTGGTCCACAAACTCCGTTTGGTGGCTACAAGGCGTCTGGGAACGGGCGAGAGATGGGAGAATACGGTCTGGATGCATACCTGGAAGTGAAAAACGTGAGTCGCCTTCCATCTGACTCCTTCCCAACCATCTTCTGTGCTGCCAAAATAAAACTTAGCCAGGATCTTAGCACTTAGCTACCAGCTGCCTGCACCACTCGGTGCTCTCAGTGCTCTCAGGCGCTCAGTGTAGCTGGTTCTTGGTGTAAAGGATCCAAGCGCATCGGTCCTTGGTGGATTTATTTCGTGGAGAACAGGATTGCTCCCTGAGGAGCATGTGCTGGGGGGCACCAGCTGCAGGGAACAGCCTTTATAGCAGCGGGTCTGGTTCTCCCGTGATGCTGCTGCCTCTGTGCTCCCACTTGTGTAACACTGAGCCCTGTCTCCAGTGAAACTAACAGCATTTTTCTTTTTCTAGGTGACAATCAAAGTCCCACAGAAAAACTCCTAAGAGACAGTAGCTTCTCCGTGCATTTGACCTATGCAGCTTCATGAGATACAATGCAAGGAACCCTGTTCTTAAAACACCTTAAACTTAGATGGACAACACACAGCTCCACCTGTAACTTGTGAAGAAATGATTCCTGAAGGAGCTTTTGTTTAAAAACCTTACTTGGCTTTAACCCTTTAAAAAACAAATACACTCTTATACAATGAAATACTCTTACTGCATCTGTATCTAAGAATGTGCTTTTTTAAAGAAATCATTACTTTTCTAAACTGCAGGAGGCTTTATAGTTACATCACATCTAGCTGCATAAGCAAGCTCCTTAACCTCCACACCTACATCCCTCTCTGTAAGCAAAATAAACTGAGACAAAGGTGTGTAACACAGCAGGACAATAACTCATCGGTGTGAATTTGTGAGGTAAAAGTTGGTTCTCAGTTGTAGCTGCTCTCATTGTATCTACTCATAATAAACGTTTTTGTCTCCGTAAAAACAGTGTTGCATTTTGTTGCAGGGTCCGCCTGTGCGCTCAGGAGGAGCTCAAGTACCTGCGGGGGGACGGAGGCTTCTGAAGGCCACGGCCCCCTCAGGACGGAGCGACCGTTAGCGCCTCACGGCGGCGCCCGCCCGCGCGCCCGGAATTCTCGCGAGACCTCCCGCCACCGCGCTGCTGTCGCGAGGTCTCCCGCGGTGGGCGTGGCCAGGGAGCGCGGGGGCGGAGCCATCGTTGGGCTCAGCCCCGCCCCTCCGCGCCGCCGCTTGCTCCCGCCCCGCTCCTGACGTCACCAGGAAGCGCCCG